TCAATGTAGTTTCCTCCAGCTCGAGTTCAATGTCCATTGCAGTTACGTTATATTTGATCAATTTCTGGTATTCCATTTTCAGGTGTTATAAAAATTTTAGAGATACAGAAACAATGAACATCGCTGGCTAGGGGATTGGAAAAGAAAAAAAATTTTCAATTTCAATCCCTTAAAATTTCAACTTTCTAGCTTTTCTATGTTTGCGACTATCTCCTCATGGCCACACAGATAACAGTCAAATGAACTGGAATGATCGGGCATGCATGAAGATGAAACGGGAGGGCGGATGTGTTGTTGCCGTTTAACGAAAGAGTAAAATATTTTTGAAGCATTTTGTATTTCAGTTATGAAGTAGCTTTGAAAAAAAGTAGATTTTCAGGTAAGTTTCGCCTATTTCACGAATAATACACACGATTCGGTGGAATTTTAGCATTACCTTGTTTGCTTTAATACCATCGACACAGTTCACAGCAAATGAAACGGACGCATCAGCGATGAGACGTGTTGACTGGAGAACATTACGTACAATCATTGGTTTGAATACGTTCAATTCGAAATGCCCATTTGAACCGCCAACAGTTACCGCAACCTGAACGAATGAAATTCTCGAATCAAAAAAAAACATTTTCAAGACATACAACAAAAAAAAATCCTTCTCCAGGAAATCAGGAAGGGCAAGAAAGAATGTTTATTTCATGCCAAAGTGCGCCAAAATTGAATGCACAAAAGTGAGCTGGATGAATTTTTTTAGCAAATTTTTTAAGCTTTTTTTAAACTTTTGGGCAAATACACATGGCTGCAGCAAATTAGCATATTTTGCTAGCAAAATAACCCAACAGAAAATGAGGGAAAAGAACTCCCATAAAAAACGCTAAAGAAGAAAAATAATTTTTAAGTTCTCAGAAATGTTTGGTTCAATTTCGCCCCTCAATATTAGTTTGTCTTACACCCAAGAAGTATCGCCTTCTACTTGAAAGCACAGTTGGTTACAATTCTGCCCCAAACGTTTCCGAAAGATTTTATTTTTTTACAAATTTAAACAAAACAGTTTACCTGATTGCCGAAAACTTGCGCAGCAACCATTGTGACAGCTTCGCACTGAGTGGGATTCACTTTGCCCGGCATGATCGAACTGCCGGGCTCATTTTCGGGCAATGACAATTCACCGAGGCCACAGCGTGGTCCCGAACCAAGGAAACGGATGTCGTTCGCAATCTTCATCAGGCTAACAGCAACAGTATTCAGCGCACCATGTACCTGCAAAAATTACTGGTCCGATTTTATTCCAAATCTGCACAAGTTTATTACCACTCATAACCGGTTGTTGGGTTTAAGGCTCTTTTTTTTTTCCAAATGATTCAATTATGCCCCTTCTACTTTCTCATTCATTTTTTATGCGTTTTTTGCAGCAATGCAATGCAAAAAACGCATATTGACGAGAGGTTGTCTG